TTTGAACACACCTTCATAATCGCAAGTGGAATTTTTATTGTGCGTGTTTGAAATATATTTATTTAGATGCGTCCTCACGTTTAATCACATTGCTTTTTTATGAAAATGTTCTCGTAGTAACTCATCACTAGGAACATCATATGTGAAGATACAGAGGATGAAAGAAATATCCTCTATTAACAATGAAAATGAGTAGAGATTGGCCAAAAAAAGAATGGATGCTTCTTGTTGCTGGATGGTTGGTGTGGTGAGAAAGCAAGAGAAGACATTTGACATATTTTGTACATTTGAAGAGGCTGCAGGTTCAAGAAGAAATAGATCACCACTTCTACTCTCTTAAGTTTAGGGGGATTTTTGGAAGACCACTTATTGCAAGAGGAGAAGAGATGAGATGTAAACTGAACCCTGAGGGTTTGTCCATTTTTGTATTTTGAGTGTGAAAATTCTATGTCATCTTTCTTTTAACCTTTGCCTAGATCATTGCACTAAAATTATAAATTTCGTATATAGTGAGGAAGAAAGGTCATGCAACCAAGGTGTGTGAGCCTGCTTTCTGTAGCTACAGCAAAAGACCCAATGCTGGTAACTTGTAAAGAGAAGAGGCTGACTTGGTCTTTAGCTGACAGTTCTGGAGGTCTAAGAGCAGGGTTCCGACTCCTGCTTGTCTCTGGTGAGGGTATCATAATATGGCATCACAGTGGTGGGGGCACCTGCAGGAATAGGGTCCCATAAGAGCTTCACTGATCCTTTCTGAGGGCAGTGGCCCCAGTGACCTAACTGCTTGTCACTCAGCCCAGCTCTTAAGGGCACTGCCTCCTCTCAGGACCACCACACTAGGGACCAGCTTCCAATGCATGACCTGCAGGGGTACACTCAAGCCATACCCAGACCAAGGGAAAACTATAGTCCTTTTAGTTTATAGTGTGTTTATTTCTTAATATTTGCTTTGTATCACGTTAACTAAATATCTCTAATTATTACTATTTCAATGTTTATCTAGAATTTAGAGTACCATGGCAAATTCTTTCTTTTAACCATTACAAGTGGTTTAACTTCATGAAATTGATACAATAGAAATTTGTATAGTGCATGGAAAAGTGTACTGAGCATAGTCTCTAGAGCATAGGGATGCTTGTAACCTTCTGCGTGGAGAGGGAGAGGCCACTCTGGAAAGGACTGGTTCATTCACTGTCAATCAGCTCCAACACCAGAACTTACCATCCCCAGACCATTAGCCATGACAATGAGGACAGAGGCCCGAGGAAGTCAGAAGTTATGGCAAGATGGTGGAATGGCAGGCCTTTGGAGGAGGGCCCAAGGAAAGACATGAATGGAACAGAAGACTGAGAATCAAGCTGAGAATTCCCTGCGCTGGGGTGCAACTTCTGCAGAACCTTCAGGGAGAGGGTGTGGATGTTGCAAATCACAGGGATAGACGTAATTTCTGTCGAAGTTGGGAGCCTGTTAAATTTGACATGCAAGGGCTTGGACTCTTGGGCACAGCTGGGCAATTGGAGCCAGCACTAAGAAGTAGTTACACTCACACAGCTACAGAGTGGAGAGAGGTGTGGACAGGGGTCACACATCCTCACCTGGATGCTTGAGGAGGAATTGCTGAATCTCTTAGTGGAAAGAAAATTTAGGGGCATTGATTCAACTCAGCCTTCCCTGCCTTTTCCAGGATGCACCAATAAACTGCTTCTATGCTTTTATTAACCAGGGGCAGGAGGCCTTTATGGCATTGGATGACATCAGCACCCATCTGCAACCTGTCTCCTCACAGGGTGTACAGGTCAACCTCATCTTTCCCGGGAGCCAGTGAGACAGGTCTGCTCCTACCCACTCAGGATGCCCCTTCTGTGTTTGAGGTATCTCATCTGTCAAGCTCCCTTCTTCCCTCCAGGCGTCCACCTCCACTCGCTCCCACTGTTCCTCAGAGGCTGTGTTTCCAGACACCGGCAACCTGCTCATCTTCTCCAGCATATTTTGATTTGTTCGGCTCATTCCCTTCACTGCACCTGTTTCTCCAGATGTGGAGGGAGAGGGTTTCTAGACAAGAAAGGTCATTTCTTCCTGGGGAGACTTTAGCAACTGCTTAGCCCTGGTCTCCACATGCATTAGTAGAGATGTGCACATTTTCTTACCTATTCAAAGAAAGACCTGGATGGAATCGTCAGGAGCATCTGCTCCTAACTGCTGCCCAGAATGCCCACCTGGTGATCATCTGCTCTGAACAATGGCTCTGTTCCAGCATTTCTGGGAAGCTCAGCATCTGCTTGGTCAAGAGAGATCCTGGTAATGGGTGGGATTAGTGGCATAAAAGGGTGGCAGTTTTTTTTAAAAGAATGTATCAAGACAAAGAATTAGGAACAGGCCAAGTGAACGCAGCCAGGCTTGAACTATTCCTGAAAGTAGAGATTTCATCCCACCCCCCACACACACACACCAGCCAAAGGGTGATGAATACAGTGCCTCTACTTGGATATCACCAGAGCTATGGGGCCCAGCCCCACAAAGGACCATGCACCCTCTAGCTGGACACTGCACGTGGAACACCCTGATGACTAGAGCAGTTGAGTTGACCAGGAGCCCAACCTAAAAGGGCCATGGCCAATGGTGCCAATGGTTTTCTCACTGCACCACATCTCATAAGAGATCAGCTCCAACCACACCCTTCCTATGGAATTCCTGCTCCTGGAGTCCAGGACAGCAGAGAAGGATGAGTTTCCTGGACTCTGCACAATCCTGGTAACTACATCATTCAGTTCTTCTGACGCTGGAAACAAGGGCACTCATTGTTGCTCATGGTTTAAATTTACTTAGCAACTACCCACAGATTTCAGCCCTATCTGACATGGGCTCTGAAACTATGGCTGAGTAGTAGCACCAATGTGGCAGCTGTGTCCATTCCAGAACTACCCCCAGCCACCTCCCCACTGCTTCTGGCTTGCAGTTATCCTGCACCAGCAAGGAAGTGGGGTCCTGGCAGGCACCCAAGTCAGGGCAGTGCTCCCAAGGGAAGAAGTGGGTGAATTTAAGGGGCAAAGTCTCGAAGTCCATTGGAACATGGGGACTTGTTACTCATCAGAGAGGAAAGCAAGCATTGAGAATGATTGCTGCTAATTCTAGTATTTCTCTACTGAGGGACCAGGTAAATGAAAGACCATAAGAAATTCTTTAAAGGGTAAATAATGTTTTAGTTTTCAAAAGATGGACTTGGCATAAAAGTTTGAAATTTACAAATCCATGTAGGCTCAGCACAATCACTGTTTCTAGATGGATTAAAACAATAGGGCTTCAACCAAGAAAGGTGGTATGTTATCCATAATGATATGCAAAATGTTTTGCATATTTGTTTTAGCTCCTATTATTCTAGATTTTTAATCATTAAAAATCTTTTTTATTAGTCTATGTTTGCAGTGCATAGTGATTACATTCCTCGTGGGGAGTAGCTGCGTGTACATAGCACATCTTTATTTTCTTCACCCTCTCCCCCTCCCCTCCCCTCTCTGTTTCTCTCCCTCCATCTGTTAGTCCTATTCTGGGTTTCTGAGTTAATGACCATCAACTTGAACTTGTAATTTGAGAGCTGAGCATTGTACTTTCCAAGGCAGTGTGTGGAGAGAGACAAACTTCACAGCAAGTCCCTCTAGGCTTTGACTTACATTCCCTCAGGTTCTATTTTAATAGGAGCTCGAACTCTACTATGAACTGTGCACGTGAAGGATCTAGGTTGCCTACTCTGTATTAGAATCTAATCCTGAAACCACCACCCTTCACCACCACCACCATCCCTCCTCAACCCTTCATCCTCACTCCCACTCACCCTTCCCACCCCATGGAAAAATCATCTTCCTCAAAACTGATTCCTGGCACCAGACAGGTGGGGACCACCTGCCCAGACTAGGAAGAGATTGAGGGGTTAGCAAGTCTGACCTGGTTCCTTTTGCAGACTTATGTCCCTCATGGACATGCCAAGTGCATTCCCCTGTTCAATATACTCTACAATAGGTATGTCCTCCTTCACCCCACTAACTTTAGAAAGACAGTTTTACATGCTACACCAAGAAGTCAGCCAGACCTCCATAGACTGACCTCCATAGCTTCACAGGAGGAAGAAGGGAGTGAAATACTGCCTTGTTCCAATCCTACAGAATAAACCATCACATCCCCTATGTTGAGGAGAGTCTCTCTCCAGAAGGCTGAGTGAGAATGGAGACCATTAATGTTCCCTGGGCTGCCATGTTCTGCCAACTCTATTCGTTGCATTTATAGACTGGGGAGTAATCGCCTGTCTCAAAAGATCAAGAGAGGGCCTGGGATTTAGTTCAGTGGCACCACGCCTGCCTTGATAGCACAAGGTCCTGAGTTCAATCCCTGGTACAAAAAAAAAAAAAAAATCAAGACAGGCATCCATGATTCTAGGGGTTTGCAAAGTCTATTTTGGTTTTTTGTATCCTCCAGTTTGAAAGCCAGCTACTTCTAACTCCCTTCTTGTGGAGAGTTCTTGTTGAACACCCTCTCAGCAGCCAGAAGGTGCACATCACAGTGTCCACAGGGGCAAGAACTTGCCCAGCTAGGCACATCGTGACTCCAGGATTGCAACTCCCTGAAGACACATGGTGGAAGCTCTCAGCACCCTCACCGTAAATGGCAGGAACTCTAGCAGAGCACTGCCTGGCAATCTCCTGGGACCACAGTGTCCTCATTAGTTCTGTGCCATATTTAGATAGCCTGGAAATCTGTGCCCCTAATTTAACCACAAGTTGGAATGGAGATGATATCAACCCTCTTGCTGCCCAATAAACCATCGCAAGAGGTAAAAATAAAATAAACAGGATATGCAAATTGACATTCTGAGTCAATAAATCCCTTTGCCCATAGGTCTCCAGATTCGCTGCTTTTTGCCCACTGATGTTTGTTAACATTCAGCAATCGGAAAAGAAATATCGTAGTCATAACCATGTCTCAATGCTCGCTTTTCCCTTTATCTGTTTCAGATATATCAACACTCCTACACTGGATATTACGTTCTGAGCAAAATTCCTCATGGGTAAGATGATTTTTCATTTTCTTTTAATTAGAACTCTGTGGAACACAGTGAAGTGTAGAACATTGACAACTAGCTCATCCCCCAGGGCAGGACCAGGGCATCTTGACTTCTACAGGAAAGGGTTCTGATCTTGCTAGAGCCAGTGTGACTCATCACTAGATAGCGAAAGGTACCAGGGTCACTGGAATCCACCAACTGGCCCATTAGTGAAGGCTTCTCCTCCAGAATTGCTCTGTCTCAGCCCGGTACCTTCATGACTGTAAAAGGCGAGTTCCCCTATGTCTCCTCAGCTGGAGGTGGGCTATCTTGGGAACTGTAGCTTGGCCATACATTCCCAGGAGCCTCCTGGTCACATCCTCACTAACAAAAGGGAAGCCTGTCACTGTATCGCACGTCACTTATAATGTCTGGCACGCATTTGTCATGTTGAGTGATCTACTATTGTGACATATTTAGCTGTGCCTTGGGAGATGGGTCTCTCTCGTGATGAAGACAAATAGCCAGCCCTGCCCAGTACCCCAGAGGGATCTGCATTTGCGGTCTGGATTGGGTCACCTGGTTTCCTGCTGCCTCTTGACCTTAGGTTGCACTGCTCAGCTCAGCTGGTGTCTTGCAAAGGCATGGCTGGGACCTGAAAGTATCTGGGGGAGGAGAACTGAGCATGGGGCTGTTTTGGGGTTCAGTGTAGTCACTGGGCCCACACAGCATTTCCATGCATGGCCAGGGACCTCCCCCTTCCATCTCCAGGCCCTGGCCAAGTCAGGCACTATATAGAAACCAGATCCACAACCAGGAAAATCCAGCAAAGTGGCTTTTTGTTGCTTTCATTTTTACCTTTGTCTCCCTACTCCTCTTTCTTCTTCCTTCCCCCACCTTCCGCCTTCCCTTCCCAGTTCTCTTATATCCCGGACTTCTAGTTCTCCACCCTACCTTTCTCTTTCATACCCTCATGCTTTCGGTCATCACACTTTGGAAAGATGAGGCAGTGTTTGGAAAGGGATTGAATCATGCTGCTGGCCTTGTCCCCTGTGGCTATTCAGGCTGAGGCATTCTAATTTTCCCAAGCTAATTTAAACAAACAGCAGAAGTTGCTAAAAGGTATTGTTCCAAAGGAGAGTGTTAATCACAGTGTGAATGTTTACAATTGCTGCTTTCTGTTTTCCACTAAGCTCAGATAGAATCTGAGCATGAAAAACCTTGGAAAACAAACATGCATAAAATCATTTCATTTGACTTCCAGCACAGGAAACGTAAACACTTGCAGATATGAAGTAAAGTGTGATTGTTTGTTGCTCTTAGTGTATTCTAAAAATTAAGCCAAATAAGCTGAAGATAGCCTGCCTTGTTGAAAGTAAGGTATCCATAGGAATCTTTCATTAATAGCATATTTCAAACAGAAACACAAATGTTCTTCAGTAAAGAGGAATTATTTTATTCTTTTTCAGGCAGATAAGATATCTTCAAAGGTCATGACAGATGAGAATATAATTATTCCTGGAGATTTATCTACCCCTTCTGGGAACAATAGAATTTGTTGAAGATGATGGATATTTCATTCCATTTTATATAAATTTGTTCAACTCAAAACTTTAAAAGCAGTTTGTACTTGACATTTTGTACTAATAGTGTCCTGCACCAGTCAGCATTTGGGAGACACAGACCCTAGAACATGGCAGGGGAGTCGCCAAACACACCAGGAAACTAAGAACAAGAGTGGCGGTGAGGTACTCGAGTGGGCAGTTTCCATGCCCATTCCCTGGAGTCTTGCAATAATATCCTTCATAGATGATACCACCGTGAATGCCAGCTTCTGGCATTTTTAGAATAGTGATAGTAATAGTGAACGCCATCATTCCCTGACTGTGTTTGGTGACTGTATTTTCTCAAACTCAACAGCCCTGCAACAAAGGCATCAATATTGTCACTCTAAGTCGGACCACAGAGAGCATATTCCTGCCAGAGTTTAGAAGAGCTGGGATCCCAGTGCAGCGCTGGCTGACTCCAAGCCCCATGCTATTAAAGTAACCTCTTTGAATCAAGACAAAGTACAATGAGGCTTAGCAAGGCAGAGAATAAACGTTATAGTTGTGAAGGTTGGATTTTTGGGGAAGAGCTAGTTTATATCTTTCCCAAGCTTTCTTATATGACTGAAAGATGTAGCAGATTCTTATTCCATTTACAGCCTCTGGTAGCTGTTGAGGTAATTGTCACCCTATTGCCACATAAATGGACATAGTTCTGCCAGTATGGCTTTGCCCGACCTGCTAGCTCTTCCTCTTTGTCATAATATCCTTGATGGGAAGGAAATTCATTAATTTATTAACTTCAAATGTTGGCGAAATCTTATTAGTATTATTGAGACCATGGATTTCTAAACTGAACCACCCTTCTGCCTGGGGATTTGGCAGCTGGAGCCTGGGGGAAGGTTTCCTTCCCTCCTCCGGGGAGCAGCACACCTGCCCCTCCAGGTGGCAAGCAGGAGCCCAGCCCAGGAGCTCACCACTTACACTACAGGTGGGTCCAAGACAGAGAGGAAAGCTTGCTTGTCTTGTAAAACTAAAAATATCTCTAGTAACATATTTAAAATTACATTACTCGTATACAAAGCCATGAGAGTTTTTCTTGATGATTCTAAAGACAGGGTCTGTACCTTTCTGCAAAGGTTCACTTTTTCTTCCTTCACCTCTGGATCCAAGCCAGAAGCCATTCCATCTTCACCCGGGATTATCTGACATTTACAACTTGAGTTTTCCCTTACCCTCAAGTTTTCCAACCAGTTACAGCAAAGGGTCAAGTTGACCTCTCTATGTCCTCTAATTCCTGGTTCCCTTCTTTTTTGCAAATAGCAGAAGAGAGTTTGAGGAGGATATCCCTTCTCTTATTTACTTGTTTGCTGTACTGGGAATTCAACCCAGGATCTTTGCACTGAGCTAGGTTCCCAGCCCCTTTTTATCTTTTGAGACAGGTTCTAAGTCACTAAGTCACCCAGGCTGGCCTCAAACTTGTGATCCTCCTGCCTCACTCTCCCTGAATGTCGTCTGTCTCTCTTGTACTGCTCTGTTCTGTCCAGGTTTAAGAGAGTAACATGCTTGCTAAAAAATAATCAATTTTAATTCTATTTAAATAAATAGATTTGCATAAAAGACACATGTCTTGTGAGGATATAATTCTTCCTGGTCCAGGCTGAATTCATTTTACATGTAATGGCTAAAGCTAAAGCACAGTCCCTGAACAACTAAACACACACAATGAAATTTCCACTTATTCAATGATCGAGTACCTAGGATTAGGTTGGTTTGACTTTCACAAACCAAATTTTCAAAACTGTATTTTTTTTTCAATTTATTAGAACACTGAGTTTATTTCACACGTATATTTTTGTCTCCCTGCCATTTCTGAATCTGCCCACCACTACTACTATGGTGTCCTATCCTAGCATGCCAACATACTTAAGCCCAAGCAGAGGGCCACTTCTGTCTTTAAAAGCTAGACAGGGCTAGGGGTATAGCTCAGTGGTTCCACCACTTGCCTTGCAAGCACAAGGTCCTGCGTTCGATCCCTGGTACAAAAAAAAAAAGCTAGACAGACATTTAGGATGGCACATTCTTGCCCTTGGAACCTGGATGACATTTATCAAACATGGCAGGGAAAGTTTGCACTGTTAAGAGGACAGCCAGGCATCAGCTGTTACAGGGGTGAAATAAGGCAGAAAATTTTAACAAACTCTTTAAGCTATTTTCTTAAAGATGCTTCCTCCACTGCCAGAGCTCTTGGTGACCTCCTGGTCATCACCCAGAAGCAATTCTCCACATAATGGATGAACCCAGCTCCTGCTTTGGAGAGAGAGCCACCTTGTTCTATTCTTGTTTACCATTTTCCTTTAAGGTCTTCTACAGAATTAGGTCCTTTTGGTACTTTAGGAGTTCTTTTGTTTTTTTTAAGGATTCTTGCCCTTTTGATCTTGGAGTTAATGCTCTTATGTCTTTCCCACTTGAGTATGATTTTTGTGCATTTGGGGCTGACCTATCTCAAATACGTTTCTTCACTGGCACTTTTTCTTCATTTCCTCATCAGAATCATAATGTTTTTCATCAGCAATGTTTCTTTTTTTCTGTGGAATTTTGCTACCACTTTCTGGGCAGATTGTTTTTCAAATATACTTCGTTTTATGTCTTCCTCCTCTTCCTCTCCAGGCCCTGGCTCTTCCTCCATATCTGCTGAGTGCCACCCACTTAAACACACAGGCCTGGGCCACTCTTCAACTCCAGGCCATGGGGCATAATTTCAAAGTTCCCAAGGGAAACCATTGGAAGCACAGATGGTTTTGAAGCTGCCAGTGTCCATTTGACTGGACTTTGCATTTCATTGTAATTCACTGCCTCTGCTGGGCAATCCTCAGCACCAGCCCCTGAATGGACCAAGATGCTCATTTTCATCAATCCTTACCTTCCTTAAAGTGACTGTCTTTTCAGCCTTTAGTTCACAAATGAAAAATAGTGCTGAGGCCTCAGGGACTGGTGTCCATGTTCACTGACTGTTCCATGGGGTGGGACATGCACTTAGCTGGGTGAGAAGCAGACAGAGATAAACAGTGACTACCCCAGAGGACAGGCCTGCAGGACACACCCACACTAGCAAGAACTGTATTCTTACAGGACATGCATCTTTTATGCAAATTTTTTAATTTAAATAGAATTAGAACTGGTTCCTTGTAACATGCACTTCCCTAGAAGATTTTCTATAAGAATTTCAGCAAATAAAGCAGTTTTCCTCAGTAGATGTCATAGCCAGCCAAGTGTTTCCCATCAAAACTCTGTTCTGTGTTTCACTGCAAGCTTTTTTATAGTTTCCCACCTCTTGACATTTTCCTGGCATGACATTTTTCCTGAATTAGTTTTGCCTTTAGCTTTAGTCCCTTAAAGAACAACGTATGTACGCTTTGTGTGTTATATGTAACCGCGTATCACTGGGACTATTCCAAAAGTTACATGGACACGTAA